TGTGTGTGTGTGTGTGTGTGTGTGTGTGTGTGTGTGTGTGTGTGTGTGTGTGTGTGTGTGTGTGCATATACAGGCAGGAGCTGTGTTCACATTTTCTCCCGCTTACAGTGGAGAAAGTCATCAGGGAAAACCCAGCGTTTCACACCACTAATACTAACAAGCAGAACATTTTTCACTTTACGATGCTACGCTGCATGTCAAAACATCTTTAGAGATGCTTTTTAAATTTGCCTATGGACTCTGGACATTTGTTTCAGCTTTTTTCCACACTCAGTATATCAACAAAATGTCATGCTTGGAAAAATGTATAAACCAAACATATCCAGACTAAAGGAAAACGGAATATCATTGACCCCCTCCTCCGGGTCCTCCCTTTCTTAATCTGTATCCCTCCATCTCAGCCTTCCCTCTGTGTTGCTGCCCCACTCTTCCCACTGTTCAAAAGGACAGCCTATAAATAGATATTAGGCAATATCCTTAAGAGTCTGCACAGAGAAGGAGGGAGGGAGGGAGGGAGGGAGGGAAGGAGGGGAGGCGAGGAGAGATGGAGAGACATTCTTACAAACAGCTGATTGTGTAAAGAGGGAACAGTAAGTAAGACAAAACCGGGGGAGAGTGAGAGAGAGAGGCAGGAAGACGGAGAGAGACAAGAGCAGGAGGACATACGATGTTAAAATAAGTTCAAGAGTGTGTGACGGAGAGATAGAGACGGAGAGAGAAGGAGAAATCGTTTTGAAAGCTGAGACAAGGAAGAGCAAATGCAGCGAGAGATGGGGAGAAAAAACGGTGGCAATAAAGCGAGTGATAGCGCGGCGCAGGGGGAAACATTTGTTTAAATTCCCGCCTGAGGTGTCATCGAGATGTAAATGTTGCGGTCGGCTCCTCCGAGGCAAAACGCCCTGGGTGCCTTATCTAAAAGGCACATTCCGCTCAACTATTTTGATATGCCCTTCCATTCCCTCGGAGAACAATTTCAAAGATAGCTCACGCCAAAAAGACCTACACCTGAGTGACAGGCAGCCAGTTCTTAGCAGCACAAGGTGGCGGGGGGGGGGGAGAAAAACACAAATGTCACTTTGACTCCTGACAGCACTTTGGAATTAGCCGCCGTGCTTGTTTTACTGTAGATAGATTCGACTGACTGTGCGCCGTGTGTTTTTGTAGTGGTTGAAATAATGGGTTGTAATTTAAAGAGAGGCTGAGCACACACACACATATATGCAGAAGCACACACACTTTACTGTGGAATTCTCCAGAGGAGGCTCCCACGCTCCCTGAAAGCTTGTTCTGAGTAGAGGAGTTAACAAGAGCAGTTAGCACCATGATTATGTTAGCAGCCAGACACAAAGTGCGAGAATGCCGTGCATTTGTGTGTGTGTGTGTTTGTTATACGGGGACATTTCTGCGATAGGCTGCTTTGTCTTTTTTCTCACTCTTCAATAAAGCTGAAACTAATCTTTGCCCCCATTTTGCTAAATTCATCAGATTTATGTGTGTGCGAGCGGCTTCTCTCGCGTGTTCATAAGCTCGCAGCCTGTATTTAAACATGCTTGCGTGTGCGTAAACTTTCCGCTGCTGACGTGCCAACATGAAATGGAAGCGTTGATCACAGTAAGCCAAGGCCAGGAGACGGTTAACCACCGTCCACGGCGATTATTCGGCCCGTTAATGGACGTGCGTCGCTGTCCGATTAGTGACTTAGCTGCAGTGGACATATGTGATATGAGAGGGACTTAACTGAGGAGCCGCTAATCATCAAAAAGCCAAGGGGAAGTGGCGCTCTAATCTCAGCTTAGCGCTCTTACCGTGTGCACAGTTATGTGTGTGTGTGTGTGTGTGTACTTCCTGCAAGAGGAGTGACAGTTTTGGGGTCAGAAGAGATAAGCAGCACATTAGAAATATGTTTTTTTATTTGTAAAAGAAAAAATATACAGCCATATTGTTGCACTAGTGTTATGTCATTTTAAATATAACTTCAGTGCTGCTTTGTGGAAAAGGCTAGCTGCATGTGTGTGTGTTTTTAGTGTGTTAATGACTGTGTTTGGTTTGAAGTGTTTGATTTGTTTGAGTTGTTGGACGGGGGTAAAATTATGCTAATATTCTGACCTGGACGATACAGACAATTTATCTACTTAACAAAACCAAATTTGTCTTAATCCTTGCATCGTTTTGCGCTTTCAAGCAGCTTCCTCCAGGTAACCTCCAGGTCTCCAGCGACATGACAGGCCTGCCAAACTTGAAATGAAGTAGCCGGCGTAACTTGCACACCCGCCGTGCCCAATTGTATAGTAATTCGACTTCAAAGGCGAACGGGAGGGAGAGGGGGATTTTATAGCCGGAGAGGAGCTGTGAACGGCCTCCCCATTCATAGACACCCACCTAGAAAGAAGTAGCAAAGTACGGGAGGGGTGGACGGGTGTGAAGAAGAGAGGAGGTATAAAGGAAATAGAAAAGGGGCAAAAAGTATGATGAAATGTTTGCCACTGAGAGAAAAGTGCTTTGGCCCGCAGAGTTTTTTGATACGCGCGTTGTTTTCTGTGTTAATGTGTAACTACTCTTGTCTACAGACTGTCTGTCAATATAGATATGTCCGTGTGGCTCCTGTGTTTAAATGACGGATTATAAAATTGTAAAAAACGAAACTACAAATCCTCACATGCACATGGATGCTTATGCAGCTGAGCCAAAGTGCGACATTAGTGAGGAGAGAGGGTTCAGAGCTCACCCCAGGTCTGTGTGTGGGGGTTATGGGTAGGCAGAGGTGTGCACAGGACACAAGGGGAGGTGTGTGTGCGTCTGAAACAAAAGGCCTCAGTGTGAGAGAGTGAAAGGCGGCAAAGTAAACAGGCGGGGATGAAGACAGACCTGCAGTGTTAGGGCCTCTGTTCTATGTATGTGCACATATGTGTGTGTGTGTGTGTGTGTGTAATGCGTGGCTCAAAGCCCTGCAGTTTGTACAGCTGGACCCCCCGCTCTTATTGGATGGTGTGTGGACCAACACATCCTCGTGCACACACACACTTATTTCTCCTCAGTCATTGTAACGCAAGCATCATAAATGTCAATTCCGGTCTGATATGATTTAATCATACCAGTGAGCGGTTTTATCTCCTCAATCTTTTGTCATAGAAAGAATTACAAACTCTTTACTGGTCATTTATGGCCTCAGTTCTTGCTGAGCAAGCCCACGGAGATACAGCGTCCAGGAGCAACAGATAAAGCAGATATGTATGTGTGGTTGTTAGTGGATTTGTATTCTGTCAGCATATTTGTGACAGATAGAATTGGATTATTATAACCTTAACCAAAGAGTTCAATGGGGTTATTAAAGATCATTGTTTTGCCCAATTTGATTGAATAGCCAAAGCTCTATGTCTCTGTAATGGTGATTTTCCTGATTAACTTCAAAGGTAATTAAGGGCTCCCTATAAGTGGATATAATCATACAATCTATAAAAACCTGCAACAAAACAAATTGCTTATCTGTGTTTCTGAAAACTTGACATTTCTAGATAAAAAGGTTCTCAGCAATATGCAAATGATAACACCAATTTGTAAATTGGTTTCAATTATTAGGTTATCTGTGAGTTCTATGACTCTTGCAGGCAAACTCTTCCAAAAACAATTAAAGGTAATGAAATTACATCAGTGTGGTGAAGAGTTTTCTCTGGTATCTCTGAAGTGGAGATTATTTGATTTTTACTGTAACCTTCCCGTGATGTGATAAGGGCGCATGTTGCGTTTCCTAGCGTGGCGCTCTCCTCATCGCCTCCGGTGAGCAGCACTCAATATTGTTTACCCTTCCACTGTCATAAGGTAAATAAGCAATGAATTAGTGGCAGGGCTGCTCCGAGGAACAATGCCAGATGTACAGTCCAGAGGAAATCCAATAGAGTCAAGAGTGTAATCAGTTTACCGGAGACGAGCGGGGAAGAATTTGAGAGAGCAAGGCTGGAGAGGAAGAGCAAATCAGACCCAGGTGAGGTATAGATGTAGGATAAAGATATGATGGAGTAGGTGAAGGAGAGAATGAGCAGAAAACAGCTTGTTAAATTGAATGGAGAAAACAAAGGAGCGGACTACGAGAGCCAAACGCCTGTTGCTTATTCCGCGTTTTTTTTACCGCGTCCCATTACTCACCCATCCCCTCAAGTTTTCACAGGCCCCTCCACGCCTCCATCCCTGTCACACTCTTTGCGACTGAGCTTTAGCAGCCTATTACCCAGGGTCATAGTCGCACTGCCTTCAAGGCTGACAAGTGCATCTGAAAGCACTCAGGCGATGCTGAGAACCACATTAAATTCTATTATTGCTGCATAGTCACTGAATCCCTATTCAGCTGAAGTACAGGGAGGCAAATGTACCTTGTGAGAGACAGAGTTCACCTAATAGATGTGGCTTTATATCCTTTCTTTCTTTTCAAGGGAACAAAGCCATGGTAACAAATGCAAACAGCGGGGCCTTCGCATTGCTAGCTATTTTCCTCCGGTTCTCCTATTGTCCGGAGGTTTTCATAAACACAAATTATTGCCACCGTGCATATACTGCTCTCACTCTCTCCCTCTTATTTCTCTACTCTTTCCCACTCTGTATGTCTCTCTCTCTCTCTCTCTCTCTCTCTCTGAAAAGGCTATTGTCAAGACATGGTCATTTCCTCCACAATGCCAGTGCAAGCGGGCTCCATTTGCAGTAATGGCCCCGTCTTTTGGAAATGTGAACGTTGAATGGCCCCCGTGGTAAACATACTGTAAGACCTGAGAGTGTGTTTGAAGGTCTGCCAGAAAGCTGGATACTCACAGACTGACTGAGGGGATATTGTCTGGACTTTCACTTTGAGAGCTGTGTCCACTGAACAAACTTCTTAGTTCCAGGAACTAGTCTTATCCACAGAAACGTACGTCATATAACTCCAGACGTCAAGCTATTATATCACCCTTTGAATATTGCTCACTCTTGTTTTTCCTTCTCCCTCTGTCTTTCTATCTCCCTTTTTTTTCCAGGATGTCTTCCAAGCGACCAGCCTCTCCATATGGGGGGACAGATGGAGAGGTAACCATGGCAACCAGCAGACAGCGAATGGAGGATGAGGATAGCGAGGGACTGGGCGGTGTCATCCACCTACCCCTGGCCTCCTACTGCGGCAAGGTGTCCCCTCGTTCGCCTCACAACCGCAACTTGGACAGCCCCCCCAACATGGTAAGGACAGCTAGCCTCTTTTGCTTATTGTGTTGTGGAAGCACCCACCTGTGGATGCTGGTGGACTGGAGCAGGATTGAGAAATTGTGCGTTTGTAAGTGTCCTTCAGTGTCTAAGTCATCCAATAATAAATGACTGTATATCCATGGCAACACTGCAAACAGAAACTGCTACAAGCCAAGTCGGGAAACTTTTAATGCGGCCATTTTGCAATAATATAATAATGTAAACAGATAAAAGCTTTAAAAAGTGACGCTCAAGTTTTGACTTGGCATTATAATCATTATTGTGTACATCCGCCATAAACATTTTGTGAGCTATAACTCTAAAACTAAAAAAATATTTTGTTTAGGACTTATTTAGCGAGAATTCAACATCTTTGACATTTTTTATTTAGTGTCTTCTGAAATGGTGTTTAAACTAAAACCATGTTATTGCTTTTCATTAATTCCCTCTGTCTCCTCCTTTCAACATTGGCACTTAAATAATGGCAGTGGTAGCCCAGAAATATCTTCAAAATGAAGGCTTATACAGTCTGGAATCATATCTTTGGTATGTCGTTTACTTCTCTATTGGCTACTAAGATTCAACTTTTAAACCCCAATACAAAACAACTTACTCAACAATAACAAGATATATATATTGGGTGATTCAGAACTGAATAAAGTGAGATTTCTACAGAGGCAGAAATATTGATATTTATTTTTTCAGAAAATGGGAAAAAATGAAGGTTCAAGGCTACTGTTTTGGTGCACACGTGTTTTTGCTTTTATGAGCGCGCCACCAGCCTTCGCCTTGAGCCCGATTGATGCACAGTTGTGTGACTGCAAAATGTGAGGCATTGCAGTGAGTCATTTTGTGTGGTGGTGCTGGATGTATGGCGCTGTGTGTGTGTAAATGCATCTGTGTGTGTATTTGTACAGTTGTGAAATATTAGCTAGGCCTCTCTGTATCCGGGCTTATTCCACATTCTATACATGCGGCGTGATTTACAATGCATGCTCAGTACATTAGTGTGATGATGTGACTCAATAGGGTATTACGTGTATGCATTATTTTGTTTTTTAAAATCAGGTTTGCGCAACAAAATGTGGACTCTCCACCCCGATAATATGTCATTAACATTTAAGGGTGTCTGTTAAAGGACTTTATCTTATTTAAAATGTGTTTGTACCCACATTTATAATAATTCACTTACAGTTACAGTGTGCAATTTACTGTCTTAGTTTCCCCTGGGCCCTGATCTTGATACACACCTTGTCACAGCGGTGTTTTGATAACCACCGTCGACCTTTCCCCCATGCTGATGATAAAAGCCCTGCATGCTGTAAAACAATGAAACAGTGCTTAGGAGCCGTAATGGAAGCTAATTCTGTAATTAGCCCTCTGATTATCCGTCAGGCCCCGCCCACTGTGGACTCTGCATGTGTGGCTGGTGCCCACTGTAAACCAAAGTCCTGGGACACACACACACACACACACACACACACACACACACACACACACACACACACACACACACACACACACACACACACACACACACACACACACACACACACACACACACACACACACACACACACACACACACACACACACACACACACACACACACACACACACACACACACACACACACACACACACACACACACACACACACACACACACACACACACACACACACCACACACACACACACACACACACACACACACACACACACACACACACACACACACACACACACACACACACACACACACACACACACACACACACACACACACACACAATTATTTTTTCTTGTTCAGGACAGGTGTTGGATTATTCCTCTGTTTGTTTAAATATATCTTTATATTTATACTGAAATGTAATTAAATCAAGCAAATTACAAACATAAGTACCATTAATATTTAATAAAAAATTGGCCCTACCACTGGCTTTCCTAAGGACATTATTAAGAGACCCCTCTTGAACTATATGATGAATGATACACAACTTATTTTCTAGTCCATTACTTGACAGCAGAAGGGTCACAGCTTTGATGTGTGTGTGTGGGGAGGGGGGCATACATAGCATAATAGCTGATGTGACTAATAAAGTGGTGTGTGTTTAGCAGGTGGGCCGGGGGCTTATCCGACTGCCTGCTTGGCATGTTGTAAAATGTGTGTTACGTTATTTTTTGTGGTGGGGGGAGGGGTTACAGTGCCAATCCCTTTGCCGCTGACTGTCAGTGAAAAGTGGATGAAGAGAAATGGAGAAGGGAGATTTACAGCTTGGCGGGGGTGTCGGTGGGACTCTAAGGGAGTGGGGTGGGGGTCTCTCCCTCTCCCAGGGCAATTGTCGTAAGGTAATAGGGGGAAGTAAATGGCTCATCTGCGACCGGTTGACTTGGAAGTGAGGCAGCGGGGGGAGAGCGCGAGGAGAAAGGGGGGGCAGACGAGATTACAGCTTTATCTTGTCATAGTAAATTAACACGGCGGAGGAGAAGCGCTCAGCCACACACTGACCTCTTCATCCCGCCTGCCGCTCTACCTGCCTGCTGCAGCTGCCACACACACACAGAATAAAAAACAGCACTTTCACATTTTTTTTAAAGCTGAAAGTGCCACATTATTCTCTTTTTTCAAATGTTGATTTTGTACGAACCCTGGCTCTACATGAGAATAATGTTTTCATAATGGTTTGCGAATGAATGTAGTTTGTCTAAATTGGCTTTTTATCGAATGTGAAGCTCTCTCCGTGCTGCTGGACCCTGATTGGCTGAGAATAGTTCAGTTCAAATGCCTGATGGGAAGGATTTTAGTGGTAGTTCAGTGAGGTCAGCCAATCAACACAGAATCCAGTTATGATACAAAAAGTAAGTACAGATGGATATTTTTTAAACAGTTCTGAAAATAATGGATTACCTTAAAAAGGTGCATTTAATTGGTGATGCACGTTCATTTAAAAATATCCTTCTTGCGTGATTTCTTTTAAGTCTTTTATGTTTGTGTTTGGCAAATCCTTGACGAAAAAAATTGTTTTCACATCATACAGAGGCAAGCATCTTCTCTCATAAATGTGTTAATGCACAAACACTAATTATTTCATTAACAGGCGAGATACTCGCCATGATTGAAAACTATAAAGATATTTCATCAGGCATTATTTCTTATTCATTTTTCCTCCACGAGCCCTCTCTTCCCCTCTTTTTTTTGTCATTTGTATGTGTGATTATGTGTGTGTGTGTATGTGAATTTGACAGATTTAACACAGTCATTGAGCAGTCTTGAGACACAGTGGTCACACTTAATTTCACATGCCAGTGATGCACTAATGAATCAACACACGCTTGCCTGTCAACAGCGAGGGGTCGTGGTAAAATATATTGGCGTGCATTTTCGCCAAACTGCTATTTAAAATACAGAAAATACAGCTGCATGTTTGTTTTTAGATAAGGAAAGAGCAGGTGTGTCATTCGTGGACAATACACATTTTTTTGTTTAATATACCACGTTTAAAAAAAGGCTATCTATTTTGGGGGAAAAGCTCCACCATATTGTTGGAACAGGAGGATGTGTGTTTGCTCGCTTGTCCCAGCCTGAGGGACATCGGAGTCAAAACTGACAGTGTCTGTGTTTAGCCATGGCATGTAAAGGGATTTGCTACATGTGTGTGTGTTTGGCAGTGTAATCGGAGGTGTGTTAAGTGCATGTGGTGGAGATTGGCAGCTCTGGCAGTGGAGCTAAGTCCTTACCCCCCTGCAGGAGTGATCAGTGACATTCTCTAGATGTGTATTTGTGTGCGAGTATTTCAGTTGAGCAGCTGTTTCCAGGTCTTCCTACTGCCACATTGTCCATGCCTTGATCCACAACGACACGCCAAGCATCAAATATTGTTTTTCCACACATACACCTTGCACAGCCCGAGACATGTCAGGCTATGAGAGTAGAGATAGAAGGAGAGGAAGAAATAGAGTCTCGACAGAGGAGGAAGGGAAGAATTTTAAAAAGAACAACATTAACAGCAGCATCTGTGCTGGCTGTAGGAAAAAAAAATAGCATTTGATTCCCCCCCTCTCTCTTTTTTGGCATGAGTTATGTGTTTTTAAACCAACCACCCCTCACAGATGAGCTTAAGAAGACAAAAGTTGTTTAATTCGGTTCCATTGCAGAGGCAGTAAAAGGATAAAGAGAGTGAGGCGCAATTTTTACTTTGTTCCAGTCATTTTGGAAGAGAATTGACATCTGCAAACTAAAGGCAGAACCGCCCACACTGCCAGCCTGCCACATCCAGTGCATATAAATACATATATGCAGGCACTCGCACATAAACACACACACACCTACAGGCTATGTGCACTCACAGTGTCACACATGTACACACAGAAATGGCGAAGAAAACCTGATCAACCGCATGCACTGGGTGGAGGGCATGAACGTTTACACTATCCAGGATTTCTGTTTGTACTTGGGAATAAATGCATGTTGATGAGAAAAGTTTTGCAGCCCGTGTTAAAGCAGGAGCGGCGCAGTGAGTGACATCCGCTTACAATAGAGGATCTCTCCTGTCTTTCTGATCCCTCTGTCTTGGACTTTGCAGAATAGCCGGGGTAAGAGTGTCAGCAGGGCACATGGATTATATGCTGGGAGGTTTGATGTGGGGGGGGGGGTTGTAAATCATAAGCCATTTAAGTTGCCTCCGGGATAAGGCTGTCTGTCTGACTTCACACATAAATAATGTCATGGGCCCTAATTTACAAGATCTTTGAAGAAGCCACGGCCCCCTGCTAATTCCTCTTGATTGGGAAATGACCTTCATTGTTGGACGCAGTGAGATGACATCTCTCTGGCAGATTTTTTCGAAAAAAGACTCCATCCCCCCCCATCTCTCTCTCCGTCTCCCCCCCACCGTATTTTTGTTCTGTTTGTTTTGTTTGCGCGACATCTCTCTCGAAAGAAAGAGTGCGGCTGTTTTAAGTAGGCGCTGGATTAGATAAATGGGATGTGACAGGTGTGACCGCTGCCTTCAAGATGCCTGCCTTCCTCTCTCCCTTTCTCCGTGTGTCTCTCTATGTCAACTCTCTCGCTCATTTCCTCTAATAACATCGCCTCTCTCTCCTTTCTTTTCCTTTGACTTCTACCCACTTACACTCCTTCTCTGTCTCGTTACATTTGCATGTCGTGCCGGCGCTGATGCAACTCGTAATCACAAAGCCGCTCATTTGAAGTCTGAATTTCCCTAATCTGAAGAACAGGAGAGCAAGAAATGAAGCAAAGACAGGAGCAGGTCGGGCCATCACTTGGTCAGGCGCTGCGCGGAGAAGAGTAAAGTCTTTCAGCGCTTTAGAATCACAAGACAGTAGCGCAGCACAGCCCTCAGGCAGAGTGTTAGAGCCTCAGCAGCATCTGTTTTAAAGCCTCATCACCGCGTCATATACTGTATATACACAACTTGTTACAGCCATATCATCGCTGTCACACTCTGTCCCTCAATTACAATGCATGTGCAAACCCACGGAGGGAAGAATTAGTGAATTATTGAGCGTGCTGACTTATTCAGAGCGTGGAAACACACGGCGCCAAGGAGAGGGAGTCAGTCAAGTGTATAAAATGACAAGTGATAATGGTCTGCTGTACCTCTCATATAGTGTTTGGCCACTGACAATGAAAGCGTCGTCAATATTGAAAGCTTCTGCCTGGCTTTATTCTCTCAAAAAAAACACAGAGGAATAATTTTAAAGTTTGTGACATGGAGTTTTTCCTTTTCTTTTCTGAGAAAAAAAAGAGTATCTGAGGTGGAGATGACCTCATCGTGGACTGTGATCTCAGTTTTAAATTCCACTTCCACCAGCTGCCTGCGAGTTAATGATTCATAAAACTATCTCTGTCTTAATACACTATAATGCTATTATTACAGCTGTTATGTACCACACAGACAGAAGTGTGTATATGTGCGTGTGTCTGGTGGCGTGCTCCATATTGTAGTGCGATTAGCCAAAGATTAACCCTGTGGACCATTGACCCTCCCGTCTACGAACAGCTGAGCTGACTGACTGACTCACTTGTTTCTGTAATTAAAGAGCACTACACACACCTTTAAAACACCTGTGTGTGTGAGAGGATGCCGAGTGTCTGCAGATTCATTTAGAGCACCTATACAGAACCTACACTGGTGTGTGTGATAAGCAGGTAGTGTGTGTTCTCTTCCTATGCTGACAACATCCTCCTTCTCAGTGTCACTATTGATTGGGCTTAGCCGGCATTAAGTCTATCACAAGCGCTATCCAAGCAAACACAGGTTTCATTAGGTCAAAGATTAAGAAGCTGGAAGTTACTTACGAGTCAGCGGCTGTCAAGAGCTCTTTTTCTTACTGTTGAACTCTTTGTTTAAAAGATGATAAAAACTCCAGACAACTTTTACGTCTGGTTTTCAAAACAAATAAATGAAAACTTGTGTATTTACTTAACTAGAATTTCTTGAAGGGCCCCTATTATGGTTTATGTGCATGTAAATGGTATGCAAAGGATTAAATCCCAAAGTTCAGACCTGAGGGAGTTTCTCTCCCACACACTCCCCCTCCAAAACATGTCACAGTAGAGGCACAAAAAACAAATATGAAACCTGAACATTTGCATAATAGGGCCTCTTTAAAAATACATTACAATAATTTTGAGAAAGTCTTATCCCAGTGCTCTTATCTTCACACCTTAAACGTATAGAGTGAAGCTCATACTTTCCTTGAGTAGATGTACACCTTAAAAACTGCAGTTTTCTAAATTAGGAATTAAGGATTCAAATTTGTATATGTTTTTTTCAAACTTTAAAAGAGAAATGTGATTTCCAAAGGTCATTAAACTTGGTAAAGACTGCATAGACTTAAGATACAAGACAGTTTTGAAAATTATTCATCACGACAGCTTGGCAAAAGTTGCTTTACTTTGAGCTGTATATATTATACTTTGTATCAGTCGTGCTGATTGTTTTTTGTCACTTCTTTCATAGATTTATGTAAATGATTTGACACCTCTCCAAAGCTTTGTGTTTTGTTTGATGGAGTTGCATTCTCAGCATTAATTGTCACGAATCGTAGGACAAAAGTGGCGTTGAAACTCAGGCTTGGGATTGGGTACAGTTGCGTTGGACGTCCCTCAAAGCCGAGCCGTTGGAGTCTTTGTAATGAAGAGTTAGTGCGACTCTGAGAGAGTGCGGAGTCTTTTGCTGTTGTTTCATGTGCTCCTTCTGTCAAGTACCTCCAAGTCAGTCAAATGCAGATTCCCAAGGATGTGAGGGATAGAAAGAAGAAGAAATGTGCCCTAACTTGAGATAACTGGCCGGGGATGACAGTTGCACTGAGCTATGAGAAGGGGAGATGGAGAGAATAAAGGGAAGATTGGTGTGGATGATAATGAAGGGTGTTTGCCAGCTCCTCCTCCACCTCCTTCTCATTTATCTCTCTCCCATTTTGTTTATTTCTGTCTTAAAGTTTTGGTCCATTTTGAGTAATTGATGTCTTCTCTCCTCCTTACCTTTCAGGAGCAGGACGGCACTAAGCGGAGCTCTTTGAGTCCTTACCCCCAGCACAATGCTACCTCACCAGGCAAAGAGGATGGTGGAGGAGGTGGGCGGCCCTGCAGCGACGGAAGCTTAGCCACAGGTACCCTCGGGACCCCAGAGAGACGCAAGGGCAGCCTGGCAGACGTTGTGGACACACTGAAGCAGCGGAAGATGGAGGAGCTGATCAAGAACGAGCCAGAAGGTCAGTGATGAAAGGGGACGCTTGTGCGGCCAGATGTGTGATCTGCAGCTCCCGCCGTCTCTCTGGCTCTGAGCCGCTCTTTTATCACACTCTGTTGTCCTTTCTCTCTTCTTCTTCTCTCTGTATCGCTCTCATGCTCTGTTATGAACCCACACACATTCAGACGAGAGGCGAGCCTTTGTTTTCCAGCACACAGACAGACAGACAGCATCAGCTGTTAGGGCCTATTGTCCACCACGCTTTGCATATCTATCACAACTTGACAAATAAGACGTGTGCATGCATGTGAGTGTGTGAGAAGCCAGAAGCCTGAAACCTTTCTTTACACTCGCATTACCTTTCCTCTGAATGACCAGTGATTGTTTAATGCACCTTACCTGCTACCTTTGTAACCTTTGGGATTACACCGTCTCAGCCCTCAGATAAAGGAAGAGACAAACGATTGAAGACACTAAACCAGATTCTTTGCTCAGGGCTACATAGCTTAGCTCAATTAGCCCCCCATTTCATTCACACATTTAGCCTTGGGCTAACAGTTTGGAGTCAAGAGATATAATTAGCCCGTGGCCATCTCTAATTTCTCATTGGGCAGATAAAGAGGGGCTTAAGTCACTGTGAAATGCATGTGATAGTGATAATGTGATAAAGAGATTACAGACAGGTGTCCTTCTAATGGGATAATATAAATAACATTGGTGGATATGAATTTCGTGGGCAACAAAGGGAGGTCAGTGTGAGACAGCAAGAGAAAAAATAATGTGCTTTTTGAGCATGTAAACATGTTGTAAAAGAAACCCAGAGAAAAAGTAAAACCGTGAAAATGGGAATTAAAGGCCCCCTTGAAGCGAAGCAGAGGTTTTCATTGGTCCAAAGTGTCTGAAAGTTTGGAAACCGACCAAACTAAAAAGATCTGAAGATAATTGATCCCAAATAAGGTTGAGCCCTTTATGGCAGATGTATGTTATAAAAACTAAATATTTTCATAAATACTTTTCTCTTGCTTCTAAATCCACCACTGCTGTGCCTGGGATTTCTATTCAAACATTTCTGAACTGTAGGCAGCCTGTACGACACCATGCCCAAAAGGTGAACGAACAGTGCAGCAGTGCGTGTTTGTCTTTTAAGTGTTCATGTGTCGGTGTGTGTTCCAGACAGTACATCAACAGGCTTTCATTTCAAGCTGCGATGTGCTAACCTTATTTTCCAGACTCCTCTATAAGGCTTTCAAAGCGGTCGAAACTGCTGGTTAGCTCTCGCCGTCTGCTTGTTTTTATTCCTTTCAATAGAGAGGCCTGTTGTGGCACATGTTACAACAAAAAAGAAAAAGTAGGTTGTTTGTCGAGCTGAGCTGTAATTGAGGTGTGTTTTGGGTTGTCCGCTGATTCACTGGACCTCGTGAACTGGCTGCACTGGGGGAAAAACAGCAATAATGGATATTTATGGAGTTAGCCAGCGCAGACACAGAGAGAGAGAGAGAGAGAGAGAGAGAGAGGGAGATGTAAAGGAAGGAGGAGAGTGAAGGAGAGAGAGAGAGCAGTGTCTTCACAGACCCCATTAGCGGAGTGCCACAGTGGTGCGGCATCCAAACCAACCGCGAGCATTATCTGCCCTACGTTTAAATGAAACGCGCTAACAAAAGGCCCCAGCGCCTCCAGACCCAGCACACACACACACACACACACACACACACACTCAAAAGCCCAGGCCAAGCAACAGAGAAAGGAAGAAGAAAGAGAGTAAAGGAAGAAAAGGGATGCTGAGAAAAGATGAAGAGAGGCAGAGGGAAATGGAGAGGGGGGGGGGGGGGGGGGGGGGGGGGGGGGGGGGGGGAGAGTTAGAGAAACGACGAGGGGCGGTATTGAGCGCGAGATAGAAATCCCTTTTCTGTGCCCAGCTAGCTATTGTTTGGCTGTGTGGCTCACAAAGACCATTAGCAGCAAACAGCAGGTTGGGATGAAAATTTAATGAAGGCTTTAATCATTATGAAAGGCCTGGAATATTACTGCTCCCTCTCTCTCCCTGTGTTACACACACTGCTTCCAGCTGGATCAATGACACACACACACACATACATCCAGAGTGTAGGAGCATTAACACTAGCAGGGATGTGAACAAGGGGCAAAAGACAAAATAGGTCAGTAAACGATAAACATCTCGGAACAGAGTAAGAAGCTTGACTTGTCGAAAGGCAGGCCCTGAGCTAAACATCACACACACACACACACTCACTCAGTCACACAAGTATGGCTTGAGTTTGAAAGATATATTTCTGTGTTGTGGCTAGTGCTGCTCTACTTAGGCTAGATGAATGGAGAGTGGTAGATACTAGGTCAGTGTGTGTGTAAGTGTGCGTGTGCTGTTTAAGCCTTTGGGAGCATGTACACTTGTGTTTGTGTATTTGCATATGTATTTGTGACATAGCACGCGTGTGTGTCATGGGAAGGATTGCATTAGTCGGCATACATGCAAGGTGCGCGCACAAGGTGTGTGTGTATGTGTTGTCCTCTAATAAATGACTAGCCATGTTGTCCCCCATGGCCTGGCCCAACCATGCTCCACCGCTCTCCTGCTCTCTCCATTCATCTCCTGTCTTACTCCACCGGCCACCTGCTACCCTGGAGATACACACTCACTTTCTCACACACACACACACACGGTACAAATACGTGCAGACGCAGACACACACACCGCTAGCCGCCGTCTTAAATAAATTCTTCAGGAGCGACAGGGAGGAAAAGCGGAGATAAGAAAGCCATGACACCATCATGTGTGTGTGTGTGCGCGCATTTGTTTATGTGTGTTTGTCCGGGACCCGAGGCGAGAGGCCGCAGGGCAAGCCGCTCGTGCTCGAGTGTGTGTGTGTGTCATTACATGGAATAATGAGAGCAGAGTGTAGAGCGTCGCGGGAGGCACGGGGTCGAAAGGAGAGCCGGTGCTGACACCCAAGAGAGATTGCATACACACACCTGTACAGTTAAACACACACACATACACACACCTGGACTGTTCCCTTGGACTCGCCATTTAACCCCTTGTGACCCCTGTGCCACAGAGCAAGGCCTGGTGATAATCTATTTGCCCAGCAGTGGGAATGAATAGATAGAGAGATAGAGAGATAGATGGATAGCTGGAAAGATGGATAGAATGAGACTATAAACTGCAAAATAAAAGAGGAGAATTAAAACGAGGCGATTTAAAAGGAGAAGAAACATCACTAAATGGGGCACAGATGTTCCTTTCGGCCCCTGGAGTGGTGCCTTCACTGCCCTGGACTTTCACCAGACACTCAGCCTCATTCCTTTCCTTTCCTCTCCTCTCCTCTCCTCTCCTCTCCTCTCCTCTCCTCTCCTCTCCTCTCCTCTCCTCTCCTCTCCTCTCCTCTCCTCTCCTCTCCTCTCCTCTCCTCTCCTCTCCTCTCCTCTCCTCTCCTCTCCTCTCCTCTCCTCTCCTCTCCTCTCCTCTCCTCTCTCTGGCAGAAAGTGTCTCACAGTGAGTGCCAGCTGAGCTCCATCTCTGGACCCTTCTGCTGACCCTATGCTCCCCAGCTCCAGCTACCCGTCACTTGGGCTCTACGGCCTCTGGGACATTTTTATGATTTCTCTTTTTTTGCCATAGTTTCTGCTGTGTATTTTTGTAGCTGAATAAACCTTTAGATATTGCCTAAATGGCGCAAGTTCCATTGGAACTGTTATGATATTTGGAAAATACCTTTTAATCTTCTGTAAGTGCAGGTGAATTCAACAGTATCAGTATTTCTTTTGAACTTCCAGTGTCAACACTTCACCCTTGTGAAAAACAAATTTGATAGCAATTTGAAATGTATTAACTGCAGAAAGATAAGAATTACACTTTTTGGGATGTCTGATTAAACACATTTGGTGTCCTATCCTTAACAAGATAAAAAAAACAGTTTAATAAAGATAGCATATTGGATGGATGGACAACAAATTGCCCAATTTCTTGTAAACAGACATCCAGTTTGACAAAATGATTGCTATGCCATGAGAAAAATCCTTATTACCAGTGACCATTTTGCACTGAGCTTGCTTATGTGGCTCTGATTGTCACTTGCCTCTCGTGGGGAATATGTTGTCAGGGTCAACAAATGGCAATATTCTTGTTGTTTTACTGAGTGGTGCAGCTCTGGGGTCAGACCCTGGCCTTTATATTGCGCAGCCTTGACCTGAACACACGTGCAGAGACACAACACACACACTGATGCACACACACGCGTTGTGCAGGTTTATAACAGCGCGGGCAACCTTGAGGTCAACCAGAATGGTGTTTTTATGGCTGAGCGTACTCGCTGCTCCGAGGCACTGGTTTCCATACTGAAAATGCCAACTCAATGACAGATGTCACACAATACACACACACATGCACGCACAGCACTTCATCTATTTTCAAGGCAGGGAGGGAACCCAGGGCTTGCTTTTAGAGAGCACTGAGGCATTTTATAGGACAGCACTTAGGCGAGGCCATTGTGCCACACAAGCACACAGTGGCCGGAGCTCCCTCACGCCTCCCTACACTCCAATGGGTGACAATGGGAAGGGCGGATACATTCTGCCAAGAAGAAGGAGAGAGGGAGAGAAAGGGAGGAAAAAAAAGAGCCCGGAGAAGTGGAGGGATCGAGGCAGTCTCTGGTTCATCCGTCCATCAGTACACCCCCCCCTTCACTTTGCTTAATCCTTCCACCGCTCTACTGTGTAGGGGGGGTTTGTCCAACACACACACACACACACACACACACACACACACACACACACACACACACACACACACACACACACACACACACACACACACACACACACACACACACACACACACACACACACACACACACACACACACACACACACACACACACACACACACACACACACACACACACACACACACACACACACACACACACACACACACACACACACACACACACACACACACACACACACACACACACACACACACACACACACAATAAACATCAACAA